TTTAGTTAAGACCTGTCAGGTGGTGTTTATGTTGAAGGAAAGGAGTTTAAATTACAAGTGAACTGAAGAACTGTATTTCTTTTGGAGTGCTAAAATTATGAGTGACTTGGGAAGATTATTCCTCACAAGTAATTTTAGGATCCCAAGAGATAATGGTGACGTGTAAAAGAGATGTTCCTGTCCCTGTTAATTCCATTAAAACCATCTGATTTCTACACTGTTGGTGAATGGGTCTCCAAGAACTTGTTTTGATGTAAATTTTCCATCTTGCATAATCACTTTCACAGTATCATCTAACATATACTTCTGCTTAGAGTGTCTGCATTGACACCTGAAGTGACAGTGATATATAGATCTGACAGAGCATCCTTTGTAATATGCTTCATTGATGTGAAAATTGCAAATGCTGACAATATTACTGGAAACATCTTACTTGGACAGAATTAACAAATTGCACTGACACTATATAAAGGATCTTGGGATGGTCCTATAATGTGCAGCTGGTCCAGAATAACGTGATTACTTTTACTGAGGAGTCATAACATGTAGGCAGACAGCATCTAAGAATGTAGAGCCTCATCCTAAATTGAGAAGCAGCATGATCTGCTGGGTGAGGCACTGGATTAGTAGTTAAGACATTCTGGTGCTATTTCCAGCTCTGCCATTGGCCTGTTGTGTGACCTTGGGCAATTCCTTTTTCTGTCTTTGTTTCCTCTCCCACTCTTTGTCTGTCTTGTCTATTTAGACTGTGCTACTACTAGGGCTATCTGCACTTTTGACCCTGCTCTTGTATCTCAGAGTGCACCCCTCCCTCAGGTGACAGGCCCCAGGCCTTCACCTCTCTTTCCCATGAGTCTCCTGCTCTTGGACTGGGTTGCAGGATACAGCACACTGTACCTACTGTGGTTCCTCAGCAGGCTCAACGATAGGAACACAGCATAACGAGAGGAAGGGTTTTAACACAATGAACAGTTTATAAACATCTATTTTATGTAAGCTTATGTAGGCCTACCTTCTCCAGATACCTCCACTTATGGGACTGGGTTTCAATCTGCTTCTCTGCAATCTCTGTTTTCCTTTCCCCTTGTGTTTCAGGGGGCCTTCTGTCAGTCCCAAAGTTCTTTCTTTGCTCTGGGTCTCTTAAATTTGGAGAAACCAGTTTATATGATCCATTGGGGGAACAGGGATAGACTTCATATTATCACAGTTTAAGGCCAGAATAGACCAGCAGATCATCTAGTCTGACCTCCTGTATATCACAGGCCACCAACACCACCCAGCTCTTGCCAGGGATGGTGGAAACTTCCTAATGGGGGGGGGGGCACCGTGGTCCCCACACACACTGCCTTGTCCTTCCAAGTCTCTGCCCTCGCACCACCCCTTTTCCCCAAGCCCTCACACCACCCTTCCCCTCTACCTCTCCTCCCGCCCCCCCTTTCCGGCACCCCTGGCACTTGCATGTTAAACCCAACAATCAAAATTAGACCAAATTTACAACCTACTTCAAAGCAGCTGGTTCTCTGCATTGTCTTTTATGTAGTGGCAACTGGGGGTATCAGATGTGTTAGCCTTCCTGCCTACTTTCAGATCAGCTGCTTCTGGAATTAACCCTTGGTAGTCACTTAGGCTTGGTCTACACTAAACCCCCAAATCGAACTAAGGTATGCAACTTCAGCTACGTGAATAACGTAGCTGAAGTTCGAAGTACCTTAGTTCGAACTTACCTCGGTCCACACGCGGCAGGCAGGCTCCCCCGACGACTCCGCGGTACTCCTCTCGCCGAGCTGGAGTACTGCAGTCGACGGCGAGCACTTCCGGGTTCGACTTATCGCGTCCAGACAAGACGCCATAAGTCGAACCCAGAAGTTCGATTGCCAGCCGCCGAACTAGCGGCTGGGTATAGACGTACCCTTAGCCAACAGCATAACAAATGGACAGATTAAACACATACTATTCATAAAATGTTACAGACAGCTCCTTCATAGTAAGCTCAGGACAGGGCCTATCTGTTGTTATGTGTTTGCACAAAGCCTCGCCCTAATCTCAGTTGTGTCCTCAAGGTGCTACTGTAATACAACTAGATGATCATAATAGTAATACTCTGTCTCTGTCTGCTTGACTGTAGAGCTTATATGTAGAACATTCCCAGAGCCCCTCTTGCTCGGCTTTCGGCTATAATTTGAAATAAACTGTACATGTATCCTCAAATAGAGCACAGTCAAAAAAGTTTGTCTCCTCTGTGCTGTGGAGAGCATTCCATACACTTGTACAGTTGTAAAACAGTTGCCTAGCATACTGTGTCCATCTTGCCTCAGAGGCTTTGAGCTTGATTCTGTTTTCACTTACTCTAGACTAAATCATGTCACTCTGTTTGAAGTCATCAGAGTTACTAAAATTGGTGTAAGCAAAGTTAGAATCAGACCAGTTCTGTCTTGCAAAAGCTCCAGGTCTCCCTTTTGGCCTGTACATCTACCCCTCCTTCTCAGTAATGCACTGCCTCTGTATAGCATAATGATCTCACAATACTTAATGTGAAGAAACTAGTTACTATAGTTTCTTTTGTCCCCCAAACAGTCTGACCAATTATTTAGCATAACTGTGGCTTGTAAATTATGATAATTGTCAGTACTTTACACTGGCTCCTAAACAGTAGTGATTTTGTTTTGCTTTGTCCACAATTCTAGAACTTACTATGAAACCTGCCTGTTTACATGGCTGTAGAAATGCTTGTAGTTTTCCCTAGCAATTTATAAATGGGCCAGGGGGAGAGGCAATACACTCACAATGTGGCCTGGTTCAAATTAATTATATTAATTTATTTTTAAAAGCCTTAACATTGTCATTATTGTTCATTTTAATATAAAATGTTAAAATGATCACTGGAAAGGTTAACTGAAGAATTTCAGTTGTGCATGTTCAGGAAACTCCTACTAATGCATAACTGCTATCTTCCTAGTATCGACAAACCAAAAACTATTGTAACCATTAAACTTGTGTTAAGAGAGAAACTTTGAAATATACGATTATATGGAAAATCATATTCTTTGAACACAGTGCCTAATAAAGATCAACATTTGTGTGAGCGTTGTTTTATGTATAATTTATTTAAACTTTATACAATTCATCCTGCATATTCTATAGGTGTTGGAAATATAATGAAAATCACATGACTTTTGATTTAGTTTATTTTATATAGTAGTCTCATTGTTTAGTATTTGTTTTTAAATTATTTGTATTCCATTTTCTAAAATTCCTTTGTAAATTGCTTGTATGGACTTGTTAAAAATGTTGCTTAAAATAAATGAGTGCAGGAAAGAAATTAAATAGTGGAAACATCTTTTTATTATCTATTATAGTATGAGTCCGAATGCAGAGATTTTAAACATGTGTTCCTTTTTGTGAAATACTGAAGCTCCTTACAAGTTCTGCAAAGGGTAGGCTGTTTGCAGGTGTTTTTATTTCCAGCTTTAAAATTGTATTTAAAATGTGTCACAAGAGTTCTGAGCTGGAATCAGGAGAGGGCTGAAATAGTTGAATGGGAAGATTTTGGTACTGTATACTTGAGGAAGCCTTATATTTAGACCAAAAAAATCTTGCAGATAGTACAAAAGAAACTTTTATTCACTTTAATGCATCTTTCTTGTTGACTTAAAGCTGAAATGTAGTAGCTCTAAAATTAATTTACCTTTCATGAACGACTGGTTGGATTATCTTTGTAGCATTAAATGTAATGATATGTCAACTCTGAGCTTCGAGCACGTTGTGTCTACTGTAAAAAAGTTGTCCCTGAGCACTTAATGTTGTGTTAAATGATGATGTGTCCTTTGCAAATGTATTATTAGTGTCAAGCTGTTCCGTCTCTTGCGATTGAAAAATGGTCAGTGATTTGAGCTTCCATTAAACCTGAATAAAAAAGAGAGAGGCTGTGGGGGGTTTTCATGCTTTTTTTGAGCACATACAGTCTCTCATGAGTGTGTTTAATACGTATCAAAATGTTTCTGTTAGCCTAAGACTCCAAAAACATCTCTAATCACAGCAATCTTGTTTTGTAATTGTATTAAAACATATCTCTCTTCTGCTTTTCGGGGAGAGGAGGGGAGAGATCACTGAAGATGTTAGTAGGGTAGTTTGAGAGGGCCAAAAGCAGTGCTAAATGCTTTAAGGCCAAATCCTACTCCTATCAAAGTTATTAGGGGTTTTGTACATTTAATGTTCATGGCAGCTGGGATTGGGCCCTTAATTTTCCCTGGGATTTTGTCTCTCTTAGATTCCATTAATATTCTAATAAATTGTTATTCCTAGTTAGATCTTCTGTTTAGATTAGTAATAATATGTGTTGTACCTTGGCATTTCCTCTGTGCATTGTTTAAAATGTAGATATGATACCAGATTGGCATTAGATTGGGAATTCTATTACTTATTGAATAAATGGTAAATGGCTTAGTACCTACTTGCCTGAGAGATGCCTCTTCTCCACACATTACTAGAAGTTAAGATCAGCAGACACACCCAAGGAGAATCCTCATTGTTATACAGCAGGAGGGGCTGCCAGCAGGGCATTCTCCAGGGTGCTGCCTGGAAGATGAAAAAACCAATTAGACATCTTGCCGATCTAGCCTCAAGGGAAAAATACTTTTCTGATCCACAAAACTGGTGACCGGTCAGACCCACAGCATCTTGGAGACATAGTTCAAACAGCAACAGAGAGTCCTGTGGCACTTGCTACCCCTCTGATAGTTCAAACAGTGCCTTACTTATAGGATAGAGAGGGCAGGGCAGCAAATAAAGTAGCATGGCTGCACACGTGGGTGGGCCGACTTTCCATTAGAGTGAAGGGGGACACGCTGGTCAGTCAGCTTTTCCCTCTTCCCCCACCAGCCTGTCAGCAAAGGTGGGGGAAAACTGTCTTCCTCCCTTGCCACTGCACCTTGCTCAATCTTCATGAACATTCTGGGCCAGGGGAATAGTAGGGGAACTGAGCTCTCGCCCTTCTTTTTCAGGACCTCAGGGATTGTCTTTCTCCTGCCAGTCAAATCAAACATTCTCCTCCCTGTTGCCTCCCCTCACCTCTCCCTTGAGATGGAGCAGGGGTAAGGGTGGGATGGAATATATCCATTTGGAACCAGACTGTGGAAACCCTAATTACATTGGTGAGACTTTGCACTATTGGTTCCATTGAGTTCAACTGACTTAGTTATATGAGTAAGTGTTTTCAGTGTAAGGGTTACCACAGTTTGCCCTAGTTTTGTTAGTGTTTTTAATTGGCCACCTGTACTTTTTAAACCTGATGTATGTGGTAAAGCATAGATTGCTGTTACTTGTGGTACTTAAATGACTAATATTTGCACTTTTGTTACAGTGTAACTTAACTAATTTTAACATCTGAAATGGATCACTACAACGTGGAATAAACGTTATTACAGTTTTGATTATGATTGTAATACCAACACAAAAAGATTCAGGACATCGGTTTGTTTGCGGTTACAAATTGGACTGAAAGCACTGAAAGGGATTTAAATCTGTAATGTTGATTAGCAACTTTTACTATCTGTCAGTTTTTTGGCATGCTGTAAATAACTCATCTTCAAATAATTCATCTGAGTAATTAAATTTAGATTGCACATTTCTCATTTCAAATATTTTGACTCTTATCTGTTTGGTTTTCTATTGTGGCTTAATTGGTGTGGTCTATATAAACGGACAATGAATTTATATACCTTTTGTTATAAAGATCAGTCAGTGAATAGAACTTGGTATTCATCCCAGGCAGAATTATGATTGAATGTATTTGCAAGATTAAAGCTCTGAATTTACTTTTTTCTAATTAAAGGCAATTAAAGATTTGCAGACACAAATAAAAGACAATGAATTGAGGAATAAGTGTAGGAGCAAGTCCATTTGCAGGTGAAAAGAAGTGCCTTTGAAGCAGAACCAGCTGTATTTTCATTGAAAGAATTACAGTTTGGGAAGCTTTTCTGCATGTGCTGGCTTGATAGCATAATGTACTCATAAGCAGCTTATGCAGTACAGCATTCAGAAAATAGTGCATTAATTTTTAAAGAAGCAAATGCAGGCGAAGAGCAGCACTGCCACATGATGATAATGAGGGTGGATATTGTAAAGTCTACTGAGGAAAAAGAAAGCAGGGAGCTTCTGAAACACGAACAGTATAAAACAATAACCAGGTATTCATATGATAATAAGCTTGGACAGTAGTATCAACAAAGGGCAAAGATGCAGCCCTGTTTCTGTTTAAGCCTGATGAATTGAAAAGCAGTTAGATACTCTTCAATCTGTTATTCAATCCTGGTATTTAATAAACTATTGTTAAAACATTGGCTTATTTGAAACAGTAAATATTGGTGTCCCTTCCCTCTCCCTTAAATGAAGCTAATTTGTAGAGTTTGACCAAGTTATATTTTAAATAGCAGGCTCCTCAAACAACCACACTCTTGTGTGTAGTCAACTTGTTCTCAGTGCAATACACTCTCAGTCACAACACAATACAATGGTTGGGATGACTACAAAAATATGGTGGCATTCGTGCCAGCAAAATAGTGATTTAGTGACAAAATATTCCTGATGCCTAAAGAAAAGTGGCCTCCAGAACTCACTGAACTTGTCCAGTTCATCTTTAGTGTTTAATTTAGGTTTTGTACTAACCGTGTTGTTGTTGCATGGAAACACTAAATTTGAAAAAAAAAAAATTACTGGGTCAGATCATCTCTAATCTGTTATTAACGTTATTAAATAAAAAGATGTACGGGGCCTTATTCCCACTCACTAATAGTGATATAAATCACACTAATTCCCATGAAATCAATATAGTTTTAATACTGTTTATGTGAGAGGAGAAACAAGCACCTGTTGTGTGTTATGTGAAATCCTAACATTTTTTTCTGGGGGAGGAACGTTGGCATTTTTCACTGTGAAACTGTTTCATGGCAGAAATGGCAAACTGCCCTTGGCTTTACCCATGTCTAAATTTGCAAATACTAGCACAGGTCTCAGCTTCTGCCCATCAAAATTCTTAAAGCAGAATTTATGGTGATGCACACTTAATAAAAGTGGCTATTATAGCTGCTGAACTAACAAAGGAGAAGAAAGAAGAAGAAAAAATTGTTACTCACCTTCTCTTAACTGTTGTTTTCAAGATGTGTTGTTCATATCCATTCCAATACCCACCCACCTACCCCTCTGTCAGAGTAGCCGGCAAGAAGGAACTGAGGGAGTGGCGGGTCGGTAAGGTCCTATATTGAGTGCCATGATGGCACCACTCCAGAGGGCGCCCGGACTGACACGACGGATATTGCTAGGGGAAAAATCTTCCAGCTGCCGTGCATGCACATATCTGATTGGAATGGACATGAACAATACATCTCAAAATACAACAGTTACGAGAAGGTGAGTAACCATTTTTTTTGGGGGGAGGGGGAGGGGGAGGGTTGGTTGCCAAATTTTTATTTCAACATCCCGTTTTTTTGAAATTCCTTTAGGTAAGGTCACTTAGGTTTAAGATGTATTAGTGCTACAGGTAAATGTGTCCCATCAGAAGTGCTGCGGGAGATAGTCCAGGTACAAGCGGTGTTCACTGATATGCCAGCAGTGCTTTATATGTGTTCAGTGATTTTTGCAGAAATCTTTTAAAATTTGCACTGTTCTCTCCATCTCCCTCTTCTGAGGGTAACATGGACTTCTAATATGATCAAAATCAAAATCCTGTGTTAATACTAGGAATGTTTCAGTGGTAAATTGAGTCCTATTGCCACATATGAAGACTTCAGGAACCACAGGTCTTGCAAATATTAATTTTAGTTTCTGGGTGACTTGTGAGTTTTGTGTGAGTATAGCCAAGTCAGTGTAACTGGAGAAGAAATTGACTACAATAATATATGTCCTTATGTGACAGGGTCGATAGCTCACCGCTGTGGCGCCTCCTCCTGGCCGCTTCGGGGAATTAGTTTTGCACCAGTAGAGCGCCCTCTTTGGGTGGCATTCCGCCTGTCGTCTCGCCTCTGTGGGGTGCACGGACTTGCGTTGCTCCCGACGTCGGCGTCCTCTTCCGGAGCACTGCCCTCCGACAGTGTCCCTTTGTCCAATCACACCCCCTTTCGGGGGGGGTGGTTACACAACAGCCCCACACCCTCGAGTCCGATCCTCACAGTCCAGGACCTGGTGTGGTTCTGACCGGCCGCTCCCTGCGGCCCGTGGCTGTGCGTGGGGCAGCGCAGCAAACAAAGGGGGGGAAGGGGGGGGGAACTCAGGCCCGCCCACTACTCTGAGTCCCGGTCCAGAGGCCCTCGGGTGACAGTCTCACTGTCTTCCTTCTCCTTCCTCCTCTGACTATCCCTCTGGACCGCTTCCCCAACAGCCCTTCGCTACGCTAGGCCTCCTCCTCCCAGGCCTGCCGCCTAGCAGGCTATGGAGTAGGGCCTTCTCCCGCTCTCTCAGGCAGGCCTGCACTGCGCTGTCCGTGGTGCTGGCCTCCCAGCTCTGGAGACAGACCTTCCCCTCTGAAGGCCTGGGACAGACCGACTGCTCCTGCTCTGGGCAGCCTTTTATATGGCTAAGCCGGGCCCTGATTGGCTGGCTACAATCTGCCTTCTGATTGGCTCCCAGTAAGCCCTTCCCTGATTGGCTATGCGTCTGCGCAGGCACCTAGGCCTGCTGCAGCCCACCCTCTCTGGGTGTGGGGCAATCGCCCCACCACACCTTACCAGAAAAAACAAATGTGTTGCTACCCTCTGCCAAGGTCTGTCAGGTAGCTTTATAGTGGGTAATGGTTCTAGTGATAGTTTTTTTTCCCTTGATACATACATCTCTACCCCGATATAACGCGAATACTGATATAATGTGGCAAAGCAGCACTCCCGGGGGAGTGGGGGGCGGAACGGTGCACTCTGGTGGATCAAAGCAAGTTCGATATAACGTGGTTTCACCTATAATGTGGTAAGATTTTTTTGGCTCCCGAGGACAGCGTTATATCGGGGTAGAGGTGTACTTCGCAGCCCTATATTAAGGTCTGAATTTGCCTGTTCAGTCTGGGCCACCGTATAGATTGCTGTGCTCATGCCCCATACTTGTTTACATCTTAGTGTCCCTTATGTATTTTGGAGAGCATCTCTTTCTGAGGTATCATAGTGATAAAATTTTGCTGTCGTTTCAGAAGTAGGCCATGTGAAGGTCATTTTGGTCCTGCCAGTGTGGCAATAAATCTGTTGGAAGTTGACTCCTTCAACTCTCCCTCTTTGGCAGAGTTGAGTAAGTTTCTGGCAAGTCTTGTCCTTTAGTTGTTCATCTCTAATTGCTGAAGTTGGCTGGCAGATGCTGAAATTGCTGCCAGAATGTAGACTCTGGTATCTTCACTAAAAACCTTTACTTCATCTGTTGATGGCTGCGTAATTGGGGCTCTAGGTGGAGTGTCTGCTGCTATGAGTGCTGTCTCACATATGTGTTTAGTGTCGAAGGAAAATTACATTAGCCATATTTGAACTCTTTGAATCCTAGGTAAGTCATCCAGTGGTTTTGCACCCAATAATGCCACTAAGAGCTTGTGGTCTGTTTCTGTGTTAAAATCCAAGCCAAATGGATAGACAGTGAGCCATTCACAGGTCCAGGCAACTGCTAGAGCTAATGTCTGGTCAGCTGCAGGAAGCATATATCTTTCTCTGCACACACTCTTTTGTTAAATTGTGTAAGGTCCACACAAATGTGGATTTTGTCATTGGGTTTCAGTCAGTGGGTTCTCTTTTCTGGGAATAACTCCCAAGTCGTACATTCTCTTTAATTATTCTTTGACTTTGCCCAGCAAGGGTATAGGGATATGGCATGAGACTTTGAGAGCAAAAGGTAGTTGCTGATGGCACCAATTTTATTTTGTACTCCCCTGATAGCTCCCTGACTCAGTGAAGATGTGTGGATACATCTCCTGTATGGTTTGCTTTTTTCTATTATTGCAGTCCAGTTTTTCTATTAGTTGTAGTCCTTATATTGCTAATTTTTAGTCCCTGTATTACGTATATTTGTTGAAGAACTTTCCATCTTTTCTCCAGTTTCCCACAGAACTATTCACAAACATCCAAGGTAGTGTTACTAGCTCCATGTAGAATCTTATTTGGTCTTTGCAGATCTCCATCCCAGGACTGATTAG